AGGAGGGGACACTGCCACCCGGGAAGAGCCATCCCAGGAGAGCGTGGCAGGGAAAGCTGGGTCCCCCGGGAGGGACCTGCGGGGCACAGCCCCGAGACTGGCGGCCAGGGAGAAACAGGGAAGGAGACACAGCGAGCTCTGAGGGCTTGGGCAGGGAAATGTGGGGCTGCCCATGGGAACCTCGCGCTTTCCCAGCCCTCCCTGGGCCTCTGCACCAAGGAGACAAGTGGTTTGAGCTGTAAGAGAGTGGTGAAGGGGTAAACCAGCTCCCTGCTGCAGCGTGTTTCCAATGCCAGAGACGTGTCTGTACATCCCACACGTTTCCCCCTGGCTGCTGTTGGGAGCTCCCTGTGCAATGAACTACACTGGGAAAGACAAATCAGCACAGCCCTGCTCTGTAGTTTCCCTAAATCTCCCACAGTCACTTTGGGAAGGGGTGAGTGATTCCAAGATAAAAAGCCAGTTTCCTCCCTGGTCTAAGTAGGAGCTCTACGGATGGGTGTCAGCAAGTCCTGCAATTCCATCTGCACTGGAACCGTGTGGAGCCAGGATGGCCAGTGTTCCACCCACTCCTGGGCTGCTCCAACCAGCACCTGCTTGTGCTTACACCTGACTTGTGACTCAAACTCGTGAGCATGTTCATCCTCGGGGGTAAGAGAAGGATCTGGTTAAAGCAGATTTGTTACAGAGGCCAGAGCTCAGCTCACACAACAGCCCTGAATAGCTGGGACAAAACTCTGCCAGCAAGTCCCGAGGGTGGGCAGCTTGGGAGATGGCTTTCCTCACTGCTGGCATTTTCTTGGGCACAAGCCCAGGGGGTTATTTGCAGCCTCGACTTTTCTTTGCTCTTGGTGAGAGCGGCGAGGTTGGTGCTTCCTGAGCTGGGAATGGTGCTGGGAGTGAGGTCTGTGGAAAGCCCAGGACTGTGGAAATGAGGGGAGGGAGATGAAGGGCAAGTCTGGACCCTCCCAGGATGAGATGGAGCTGCTTCACACCCATAGCTAGGTGAGGAGATGCAAAATCTGGGGAAGTGGCTTTCTGGCCTTTACCCATCTCCTGGGGACAACAAATGGCAGGGGGTTGAAACTAGGTGGGCTTTAAGGTCCCTTCCAACCCAAACCATTCTGGGATTCTGTGATCATCCCACCCCCTTCAATAAAAATCTCCCTTCCACAGCACCCCTGAGATGTGCTGGGGGGGTCAGACCCTCCTCCTTCTCCTTAGAGCTCTGAAATTCCTGGGAAGGGGAAAATCAATGGTAATGCTGAGAGTGCCATAAACTGTGTTTCTCATCCTGCAAACAGCCCACATGGTTGGGAGTATTTTGAAATGCCCAGAAATAGATCATTAGTTCTGGGCTCTCCTGGAAGCCCTTAATTGAATCAGACCATTTTTGGACTGAATGACAGGCTTTGAGCCAAAATGTATATACTTAAAGGAATAAACTGCAGCATGCTGATCAGAGGCAGTATTCCCGAGGGAATGGGAAGGTCAGGGTATGAACAGATCCTCCGAGAGTTCCCGTCATTTCTCTGCTCTATAAGGTCCTCACGCTGCTGGACCCCATGAGCTGTACATTGGTCATTTCCCGTCCTGTTCCTAATCACAGAATCCCAGAATGGTTTGGGTTGGAAGGGACCTTAAAGCCCATTTTGTTCTACCTCCTGACATGGGCAGGGATACCTTCCACTATCCCAGGTTGCTCCAAACCCTGTCCCACTTACCCTTGAACACTTCCAGGGATCCAAGGGCATCCACAGCTTCCCTGGGCAATATGTTCCAGTGCTTTACCACCCTCACAGGGAAGATTCCTTCCCAATATCCCATCTAGCCCTGCCCTCTGTCAGGTGAAGTGCAATACTTGAGTTTGTCATCGGTGTCTTAAATAAACTCCATCTTGAGTAGACTCGGTCTGCATCAGTCCTGGGCTCTGGGTGGTGGGAGCAGGGGCTGCTGTCCTGGGGTGGCAGCAGCAGGATCCCGTCCTTCCACGGGGTCTGTGCACAACAAGGAGCATTCCCACATCCCTGCTCTTGTCCACGTGTCCTTTCCCAGCCGCAGCCCTTCTCCCGTGCCGGGTCGGGGCTGGAGTTTGTCACTAGGGGTCAGTGCCACATCTCCGTTGTGGCTTCGCGAGTCGCCGCCTCTCCCGGTGCTGCTGGATTGACGCTGGAGCGTTGGCACCAAAGGGATGAGAGGTCAGAGATGGCTTCCCAGTGAGATCTTGTGGGGAAGCTTTTTGCTCCCAGGGAGTCCTGGCTCTGCTGGCTTCATCCCCCATCAACAGCGGGGTCCATCAGCTTGAGCCTCCCCGGTTGGGTTGGGGTGCCAGGAGTCCTGAGCTGAGCCCACTTTGCCAGTGCCAGTGTGGTGACCTGGGAAGGGATGTGCTTGTCTGTGTCCTGCTCTTACCATCATCCAGCTGGGTGGGCTGGATTTGCTGTGGGTGCAGGTCAGGATCCTGGACCATATGAGGTATCTTTGAGTTTGTTGGGATTTTATTTTTCAATAAAAAATATCTTTTTTCATCGTGTAGCACCAGCAGGAACTTGGGTTGGAAGGGATTTTAAAGGTCATGTCGCTCCAGCCCCTGCCATGGGCAGGGGCACCCTCCACTATCCCAGATTGCTCCAAGCCCCGTCCAACCTGGCCTGGAACACTTTCAGGGATGGGGCAGCCACAGCTTCTCTGCAGAGATGGAGAAATCTGTGGAGTCAGGTATGTGCTGGGGTGTGTAGGGACAGGCAGAAGATTTTAGGGATATTGGGGCAGTTTGGTGGTGGTCTGCATCCCACAGCACACCTTGGCCAGAGGAAACGCTCCTGCACTGTTTGGAACAGCTCTGGCTCTGGGGTGGAAAGAAACACTCAGTGGGTGTTTATAGAACCAGAGTCACAGAGTGGTCTGGGTTGGAAGGGACCTTTAAAGGGCATCCAGTCCAACCCCCTGGATGGGCAGGGACACCTTTCACTGGAACAGGTTGGTCCAAGCCTCATCCAAGCTGGCCTTGAATTACGACTTGGAGTGAGAAGCAAGTTGGAGGTGGGAGAGCTCTGGCTCTGGGGGATAGCTGGGAAGGATGGAGCAAATCCCACCAGGCTGGAGGATTGAGATGACTGGGATGCTTTCCTACTCCCCAAGCAGCAGGAGGCAGCCAGGGATCACCAGGACACGTGTACATCAACATCTCTCCCTGTGTCAGCAATGCTGGTGCTGAGGTG